ATGCACACATATGCAAATTAACCGCCATCTTGTTGGCAGTTAATTTGCATATAGCCCTGATTAGCCAATGAAAAGGGTAGCGTCGTACGCCAATTACCATTTTTCTCTTTTATTAGTGTAGATTAATCAATTAATTTTTTATTTTTTAAATCAGTCACCTGAAGATGTGTGTGTGTGTGTGTGTGTATTACTGATTTTAGAGAGGGGAGGGAGGAGAGAAACATTGATGTGAGAGAGAAACATCTAGTGGTTGCCTCCCATACGTACCCTGACTCTGGATCGAATCTACAACCTCAGTATGTGCTCTGACCGAGAGTCAAAACCCATGTGACCCCTGGTGGGAGCGGGTGGCTAGGGCCCCGAACCTGCCTGGCTGCTACTGGGCAGCTGGCTGGCATCAGTGAGCCGTTTTCATCTCTGGGGAACGGGGTTCCTTGTGCTTGGAGGAAGTCGCAGACGCCTTTTAGGGAAGCTCCGAGTCCTGCCCCTAGGTGACACCTAGTGACAGTATAGGCATCTTCAGGGGAATTTGTAGGCTCCGTGTGCTCTGAAGCGTAATGTGCTTAGAAACGGATCTTGGAAGGTTATTTTAGGTGACCTGGTTCTAATTGAGGGAAAAAAGATGACACATCTAAAAATGGTGGTCCGCCCCCCGCCCCGTGCTGGTTAGGATACTGCAGAGAGGCGCTTACATACCCCGCTGCCCGCCGCCTGGAAAACAGCTTGGTGGCGCGAGCTGGCATGTTTCACAGGCTCACATCCTGTAACTCAGCAATCCTGCCTCTCGGGAACTCCCCATACATCCCTTGAAAAGGGGGGGACACTTTGTGCACAGGATGGTGGTTAGAGTGTCTGGCAGTGTCCTGCATGAGGGTTGGAGGCTGGGGATGTAGATAAAGGAAATGATGGCATGTCCGTGAGGCAGGGTTCCCGGGATGTGGCCGTACACTTACACCTGTGAATCATGCTCATAACATACAGGAAGCGCTGTGGTTCTAACGCATGGAAAGAGGAGGATGTGAACAGTGCTCTCAAATGAGCATGCAGTTTAAAGTGCAATGTGTGGAGGGAACATGTACCTGTAATAACAGCTGTTGCTCGTGGTGGGATTCAGGGCTTTTTGTAGACGTTATTTTTCTGTATATTTTCTTGTTTCCAGTAAATAGTTCTGGAATTAGGGGGGATGGGATTCTGGGAAAATGATAGAATGTGGAGATAGTTTGGCAATGGCGACCTAGCTGGTTAAGGTCTTGTTTTGTGTAAGTGGAGAATTGACATTTATTGATTTCAGAGTGAGGAAGGGAGAGAGAGAGAGAGGGACAGACAGACATTGATGTGAGAGAGAAACATCGATTGGTTGCCTCCCTTATGCGCCCCGTCCGGAGATCAAATTTGCCACCCAGGTGTGTATGTGCCCTGTCTGGGAATTGAACCCGCTACCTTGTGGTGTACGGGATGGCGCTCCAGCCCACTGAGCCATCCGGCCAGGGCTTGCCCTCTGACTGCGATGATGTCTTTGGACTGGATGTCAGTATGGCCACGGGGAGGCCTGGCATCTGGGAACTGGCTGAGGGTCATGAGCCCCGGCAGATGCGGTTCCCGGTGCCGGTGCCGGTGCCGGTGCGGGGGCACACAGCTCCCGCCTGCACTGCGCTGCGCCTCGCCGGCTCTTCCTCTGGTGGAAGCTCTTCGGGAACAAGCCCTGGGGGGCAGCGTGAGGACCCAGCACCCCTCCCCAGGCGCTGCAGGCGGCCCGCGTTCCCCTCCGGAGCAGAGGCCGGAGCCGCAGCCCGGGGGAGGGACGGTGGCACAGGAGCCGCTGACGCCGTTTTGTGCTGACGCTTCTCAGGGGCCCAGTGTAAGCGAACGCCCGGGACTCTGCTCTCACCTGCCTGCCCTCTTCCCGGCACTGACCACACGGCTCCATCTGGGAAATGGAAGCCGCTTCTGACTAACTTCTCTCTTCAGGATTCACAGATGGAGTCACTGGAAAAGACAACACACAGAAGTGAACAAAAGTCCAGGTAAGTCAGGTGAACGCCACTGGTGCAGGTCGGTAGCTCTGTCACCCACAGCGGCGAGAGGGAGGGAGAAGCTGGGTCTGACGGAGTCGCAGGGGCTGTGAGAGCCTCCGCGTCAGCATCAGCCGTGCCCCGGGACCTGACCAGGACCCGGTCTCCCGGGAGCAGCAGGGTCAGGGCCCCGGCTCAGACGGCTGTGGCCGCGGGGGGCAGTCTGCCGTAGACCCAGGTGACGTCAGGTCTTGCGAAGCGCGGGGATAGGTAAGTGGCAGAAAACCAGCATTTGCCAGGATTTTCTGTCACGGGAAGCAGGAATCATTTCGCCGCCGTCATTGTTTCCGAGCTCTTTGCGGCTTCGGAGAATTAAATGGCTCTGCTTTTTGTGGAGAGGGCACAGCACTTAGCTGTGCGCTTAACCCGGGGACTCGATGAACAAGGTGCTGCTGCCCCACGTCCCCTGTGGGATAGGACGGACAGAACATAGCGCTCCTGCTGCAGCAGCGGGACGGGCAGCGTGTGCGTGTGCGTGTGCGTGTGCCAGGCCGACAGGGCCCAGCACCTGCACGTCCCCATATGCGCTGCTTCTGTTGGGGCGCCGCCCTTTCACGCGGACTTTCACTCTCTCCCTCCGTTTTTAAGCAGAAAGTTTTTAAAAAGCCTCATCCAGAAACAGCCGCAGGAGCTGCTGCTGGTGATCGGCACGGGCGTGAGCGCGGCCGCGGCCCCCGGCATCCCCGCCCTCTGCTCCTGGCGGAGCTGCCTGGAGGCCGTCATCGAGACAGCGGAGCAGCTGGACGTGCTGCACCCCGGGGACGCGGCCCAGTTCCGCCGGAAGGTGGTGAAGGACCGGGACCTGCTGGTCGTTGCCCACGATCTGATCCGGAAGATGTCGCCGGTGAGTGCTGCTCAGGCGTCCCGGGGTCACGTGGCTCTGGGCCAGGGGGTGAGTCTAGGTCTCACGTTCAGTTTCTGTGAGCCTAGCGCCTACGTGTGTCTTTCTCAGAAGCGTCAGGCTGGGGAGCCGGAAATCTTCCCCTCCCTCAGAACCCCGCCTCGAAGCAGTGACGCCAGGGACAGCCGGGCGCTCCTGAAACAGCCGTGTTCCGTGGAGCCCACCTGTGGGCTGTTGGGTGGGTCGAGCCTTGTGGTTTCCTGTCACTCAATGAGGGGTCGCCGTGAGCTGCGCTTAGGGCCCGGGCTGGCCAGCCGCATCTCTGCGGTGACAGTGGTGCCTAGAAGCACTTCAGGGTGGGAGCAGTGCTGGCTCGTCTGCAGGTGGACGTGACCCGGTGGAGAGAAGCATCTGGTGCTGCAAGAGGTCGTGGCTGAGTGATGCCTGGCGTCGGGGTCGGTGCAGGAGGCGGGTCACCATCACACGGGCCAGCTGCAGCGCAGGGAAGACCTGGGAAGCAGACACTGCAGGGCCAGGACAGGTTCCTCTCCTCACCCGATGATTACTGGAGAAGCCCAGCTGTCGTCTGGGAACTGGGTCAGGAGGAGGAAGGGGAGGAGGAGGAGAATGAGGCCCAGCACAGGAGCAAGTGGGGAAAGTTGGCATTGGGAGCGTTTAGGCTGCCGGGGAAGGAGACCCCGCCACGGGCTTACGTGGGATTACACTTCGATTCTCACATAGAAACCTGCAGGCAGCCCGACTGCGGAGCCCTGCTCCTTTTCCTGCTGTGCCAACACGGACCACTTCCGTTTCCACCATGTTGGCCAGTGTCACGCGGCCACACCCATTTTTCCAGGGTCTGGGCAGCGTTCCCATTGGTGTCTGTGCCGGATGTGGGTGTTCTGTGAGGAGCAGCGAGGTCCCGGGACGGGTGCCCCTCCTGCTGCCGCTCTGTACGTGCGTGCGGCTCCGTGGGCCCCAGTGCTGTGCACAGAGCTCAGCATGGCGCAGAGACTGGCCCGAGAAGCCCAGCTGGTTCCTCTCCGGTCCTGTAGGGCCAGATGCCGGCCTGTCGCGGGCAGAAGGGGAGGGTCAGTGGACTGAGAGGTGGCAGGGCGGCTGGGCAGACCTGCCCGTCCAGGGGAGGGTGTGCGCGTGGGGCAAGGCCGGGTGGGCTGCCACTTGTTCAGTCCGGGAGGTGAGCTCCAGTCTACTCTTCTCTTTACTTTTGAAAACTGCATAAAAAAGAGTTGTTGCCAGGCGAGTTCGGCAGGCTGAGAGCAGGCGAGGTCGGTGGGGAGCTGGGAGTCGGGGCTGGGATTTGCCAGGGAATTAGTTCCAGCAAAGCCAGGGCAGGGCAGGGGGGCTGGAAGCTCCTCAAGGTAGTGGTTGTAGTGGTTGTGGGATCTAAGCTGCTCCTGGGAGAAGCCTGGCAGCGAGGGAGGGAGAGACCAGGCCAGTGGGGGCAGGTGCCTGGCTGCAGGTCGGATGGGGTGGACGTCCTGGGAGCTGCCGGGTCTAGAGAGCGGGGCAGGTGGAGGGAGAGGCTGAGCAGAGGTTCTGGAAAGGGTAACGGTGAGGTTTGGGAGGTGGCCATGGTGGGGTGGGACCAGCTCATGGCAGGAGAGATGGGGGCGTGCCGAGACCTTGGTGCAGTAGGATCCCTCGGCACAAGCTGAAAAGTACAGCGGGGAGGCGACAGAGACCGGGAGCCACCCACACCCTCTGGATCAGGGAGTGGGAGAGCCAGTTTTCAGGTGGGGAAGGCGGTGAGGATGGAGGTGTGGGGCGTACTGAGGGCAGACCCCCCAGGAACAGTGGGAGGGTTTTCAGAATTGGGGTGGGGGTCAGAAAGGGGAGTGCCCAGATGTGCTGTGCCAGCACGGCCAAGGGTGAGCCTGAGGAGAGGCCGTGAAGGATTAAAGAAGAATACAGCTGGGGCTCGGTGGGTCTCCTGTGCTTGGAAGAAGACACAGAAAAAACCGAGCCTCCAAGCCGAGGCTTTATTTTATAGTCAGCACACAAGGCAAAACACGGGAAGTGGTCAGCGTGTTTACCATGTTCTTGTGCGTTTCACCTTGTTTTGGCAGCGCTTGCTGCACCCCCACAGCCCATTAGCTACCTGGGAAGGAACTAGGGAGGGCTGTGAGGTTAAGCTTACTTATGCTAAGAGGGCTCTGCCCTCCAAGCTGGGACTTGTTTGTGGCCCTGACTTAGGTCAGTCCGAGGCTTGACCCTATAGCCGCTCCCTACACCCGGAGCCACGGCCTAGGTGATGGTCTGAGAGCCTTGTGACCGCTGACATCAGCGGGCTCAGAGGCCGGGACAGAGGTGAATTCTGAGGGACAGCGGAAGCAGAGGCGATGGAGAGGCAGAGGGTGGGCGAGGGGGTCCGTGCCAATGCCCAGCCCGGCTCCATGGCCCGTGCTGCCCTGTGCGGGTGGCTGGCGAGGGGCGCTCTTCCTGGGAGTGCATCCTGCTGGCTCCGCCCCTGCTTAGCTGACCCTTCCCAGCACAGCTCTTCCCAGGAGTCGTTTGTTTTCCTGTCGCCAGTTGCTTACTTCTCCCACACCCATCCCATGGGCTCCACTGCGGCAGCTCTCATCACGGCCACAGACCCTCGGTGCTACCCCAGGGCCACACGCATTCTCATCCTGCGGGTCCTCCGCCGTGTGTGCCATTGAGACACCCCATTCCTAGACCCCAACGAAGGGAACACCCGTTGTGGGCAGTTCTCGGAGGGAAGGTCTTTCCCTTGGTCTCCAAGGCCCCACGTGGTCTGGTGCTGGGTCACCTCCGGCCGCACCTGCTGACGGCCCCTCACTCCTCTCCTGCGCGGCGGCTCCTTGCTCACCTTTGGACCCACCTGTGCTCCACCTCGGTGCCTGCGCTTGTTCCCGCCTCCGAGGATACTCTCTCCAGAGGCCCCGCTGCCAAATGCCCCTCATCAGAGAGGCCGCCCTGCCTGCGACCCACCTGCCCTGTGCCCCAGCAGCAGCTGCCCCTTCCGCTTCTCGGCGTCACTTTTCCCAAAGCACTTAGAGCACTTAGCACCATTGATGTATCATGTGTTTGTAAACGGTGTGTGTCCCTCCTCTAGAGTGTAATTAACTGCGAGGTCAGGGTCCCCTTCCTCCTCCCTCCCCTCTCTCGCACCCAGAGTGTTGCCGAGAGGTGATGTGGTTGTAACTCCGTCCACCTTTCTGTAGCGGACGGGCGACACCAAGCCCAACTTCTTCCAGGACTGCCTGATGGAGATCTTCGACAACCTGGAGCAGCACCTCCAGCACCCGCAGGTGCTGCAGTCCATCCTCAGCCTGATGGACAGGGGCACCATGGTGCTGACCACCAACTACGACAACCTGCTGGAGATCTTCGGGCAGCAGCAGAACAGGCCCATGGAGTCCCTGGACCTGAAGGACAAGACCAAGGTGCAGGCTGAGGTTCCGGGGCGGGATGGGCGGGCGGGAAGAGGCTGGGAGTGGGTGTGAGGTCCGCTCCTGTCCACTGTGAGACACGGCCCCGCTTGGTCTGGACTGTGCGCCCATCCCTTCGCAGGCAGCTGAGTGCAGGCCTTCGCCCTCCCTCCCCGGAGCTGCTCGGGGCCGCTCTTGTCTCTGCCTTCTGTCCTGCTGGCCTGGGGTTTCTTCTCTGCGTTCACTCATTGATCGTAGGAAGTCGCTAAGGAAAGCAGAAGCATGCAGTCCTAGTGCTATGAACTTTGGTTAATTTGTTTTTAAAAAACGCCACAAGGTGGGATTGCAATATATAGAAGTTGTTATCCTGATCCCCTTCTCCCCCCCCAACCCCCCAATATTTTACTGTGAGCATTTTTCTGTCTTTGGCTTTTTAAATTTTCTGAATTAATCTTTTGCCTCTGAGATCACATTTCTTTGGGGCATGATCTCGCCATGGCTGCTGCTCTATATCCTTGGCTCTGGGGGTCAGCTCAGCGAGTCTGCAGGTGGCTGTCCAGGCTGACGGTTGTAGAATTTCGCTGTAATTTATACGTGGTCGTGGGAGGAGGCGAGCTGTGTTTATCTGCTCTGCCATCCTGACCAGAACTCCATTAAGCTGTTTTTAAAAGCGTGACTTTAAAGGACAGTATAGTTGTAAAACTAAAGCATAATTGTTGCCTTTCCTCTCTTACTGTCAGCATATTTTCATGCTGATAAATAATGCTGCAATGAAAATCCTGATACTTCTGTGCCTCTCTGTTTATTTCTTTAGTATAAGTCCCTAGAAGAGGGTCAGGGTCAAAGGGTATGACCTTTTTTTGTTAATCCTCACCTGAGGGTATTTTTATATTGTTTTTTCTTTTTTAGAGAAAGTGGAAGGGAGGGAGGGGAAGAGAGAGAGAGAGAGAGTGTAAGGGAGGGAGGATAGAGAGTGGGGAGAGACAGAGAGAGAAACGTCCATATGAGAGAGACCCATCGACTGGTTGCCTCCCCCATGCACCCTGTCCAGGGGGTGGGGAGGGACCTGCCACCCAGGTATGTACCCTTGGTTGGGACTCGAACCCAAGACCCTTGGGTGCACTGCCGCCACTCTAACCACAGAACACGCTGGCCACGGCAGGGTGTGACTCTGTTAAAGATGGTGATATAAATTACTAAATGGTTTTCCAGCAAGGCTGCCAGTTTCTAGTCCCACAGCTCCCTGTGGAGTGTAGGCAGGTCTCTCTTTACTGCACTTGACACGTTTGCGTTTTTTACCAGTTGAAGGCAGGACCCCCCACCAGCAGAAAGAGGACGGCTGGCTTATTGTGGCGCTCGCTTTACCGCGGCGCTGCGGAACCAAACCCACAAAATGTCCGAGGGACGCCTGGTTTCCTTTCTCATGTCTTGCCAACACTAGTTTTACTCAAAAACAAAACCCAGTACATTTCACCCACAGGACGGCGAGCATTTGGCATTTTTGTTTTCCTTTTCACTCAGGGGGAATGTAGCTTCACTGAGTGACTTCTCTTCTGGCAGCCGGGTCCTTCGGTGTGTGCTCACAAGTACTAGCCCGCCTGGAGCCAGCGTTGCTGCTGTGTTGTCTGGTTCGCTTCACGGGGGACGGCCGGGCCCTCCCGCACAGGAAGCTAGAGGCCGCGACTCAGTCAGGCCTGAGTTGGCCGAGAGCGCGGCTCACACCCGAGAGCTTCGCTTTGGGAGCCTCTCTCCCGAGCTGGGCCGAGACGGCGGCCGGGCGGCCGGGCACACGGGCCTGGGCACAGGCTCCACCCCGCGCGGTGCTGCTCAGCCTCCCGGTGCCCTTGCCCCCTCTGGACAGACCACCTGCTGCGTCCCAGCCACCTGGTCCCACCGGGCGGCCTGCTCGCTGTGGAAAGGTGTCTCTGGGGTAAATGAGATGGCAGGTGGCAGAGATGTGGCTGTCCATCTGCGTGTTCTGGGTCAGAGCTGTTACTGTCCGTCTGTCTGGGTTGTCAGTGGCGCCTGCTGCGGAGAAAGCGCCGGCGTAAGCGGGCACGTACACGCCGCGCTCTGTTAGGGACCGTTGCGCTGGACCTTGGGCGGCCATCACGTAGGGCTCCACTAGTCGTTCTCCCATGCGCTTCTCTCCGGGGGGAACCTCAGAGGCCCAGCAGCACCTGGCATGTCCCAGGGAACAGGGAAGCGAGGTCCCTGGTCAGTCTCCACGGCCACTGTGATCGCAGGTGTGACGGGTGTTTTCCACCGTCTCGGCCTCCAGAGCCTCCTGATGCGACGGGACAGGAGTGACTAGCGCCAGCAGCGGAGTTACTCCAGGCCTTAAAGGTATAAGCTTTTGTGGAAGAGCTACAGTTCGCGAGCCGCAGTTTGCCGACCACTGGTATAAGCAGTGCAGACACCTCATTCTTTCCAAGTAGGTGTGAAAGACCACGAATCCAGGTTAGGGGTTTCCCTCACGCTGTTTCCAGTGACACCAGCTTCCTCCCTCTGTCGCTCCGATGTCTGGCAGGTCCTCCAGTGGGCACGAGGGCACATCAGGTACGGAGTGCTCCACATCCACGGCCTCTACACGGACCCCTGTGGGATGGTCCTGGACCCCTCGGGATACAAGGACGTCACGCAAGACCCGGAAGTGATGGTACGGCCCTTGGGACTCTGCTGGCAGCTGCCTGGTTTCCAGACCTCCCGGCAGTCCTGCCCTTCGGGACCTCAGGGCTGCGCAGTCCGTGCCCGGGCCTGCCATGTGCACAGGTGCTCAGAGGGCTTGGCGAGGGCTCCTTACGGCGGCCCATCCTGACTCCGCCCCCAGCTGTCCTGCGCCGGCTCAGGGACGCAGCTGAGTTTCTTCCGATTGATGTGCAGACCCGCAGGGCCTGTGCTGCTGCTCTCTGTCCAT